CTCAGCCAGTGAATGATTCCATACGAGAGTATGAATGGGCACTTCGATGACCTTACACGAAATCTCCTCATGGCAGACACAATGAAGTCATTGAAGAGCCTATTGTTACTGGTGCAGGTGTGTTCCTGTTCGGTTAGAGCGAGGAGCACGCTTTCATCATCTGTTAGTGTTTGTTTCTGTGTTTGAGCTTCTAATGAAAATGCAGCTGCAGTATCAGTCAGTATCCATCATCATATCTATCATTTCTTCTTCTCCTTTATTTCTCCCTTTGTTGTCTTAGTTTTCAGACAGATGGCTGCAAAAATCCTATTTTTCTCTCTTTGGCCCTGCATTGTAAATATTCAACTCCTACACTCACACAGGTTTGTGACCTCTAAAAAGAGCAGTTCAGTGTTCCCGAGAGGCCTAACAGAGGGATCTCCTGTCTGCACGGCCTCTTCCACATATTTCAGATGTGTATTCTGATTACACGCCCCACACAGAGGAGCTGAATGGGACTTTTTACTTTGACTTAAACCCTCAAATGCTGCAGGTTTTCATTGTTTTCCAAGAATAGCAAAGGGATTAATCACAAATATGAGTTCAGCAGTAAACAGGTCCTGGAACAGAGATCAGAAAAGAGCTCTACAGGCCCCTCTCTCTCTTCTCAAGGCATTTCCTTTTGTCCCCCTTCTCACTGGGCACTCCCTCTAGACAGGAAATTCTACTGGAGTCGCTCCAAACCATGTCCTCCTTTTTCCTTCATATTCCCGTTCTTTGGCAAGAAATCTTGGAAGGAGGGTGCACTCTGTCCCAACCTTCAACCTGCTTGTAAACAAACAATCTGCCTGTTCCAGAAAATCACTGTACAGCTTATCCAGCACATCTCATCTGCGATTCCTGCGATGCTGTGTGCCTGTGATTGTTAAACTGCACAATAAGCTGCAGATAATACACAGGATGTTACTTTAAGACATGAGATAAATCACAAAAATCTCACAGGGAAAAAAAAATGTGCTTCTTCTCACACTGTATTAAGAAAAAACTGAATTGAGTTTCCTAGAATTAGAGCCACCCACAGTTCAATGAATGTGCAGAAAAGTCCCACATTACCATGTTCCCACAGGGACAAGCAACCTTCTGTGTTGTTCACACAGTGTTTCTGCAGCTCTTCTTCTGCAAGTTCACTTCCAAAATATACTGTATACAAGAAAAAGAAAAAGTTGATTCCTATTTCCAGTAAATCGAATTAATGTGGCATACAGACTGCATCTATCTCTCAACTCAATTCTGTTCAGTCAAATTAAATTCTTTGACCTGATTACGTTCAGGAACAAATACTCAGAATTAGACTTAAGGTGGCTGCATCTATTCTTGGCTGTAATCCAAGTATGCCAGTAACTGACTGTTGGTTAAATCATTTACAGATTTTTTGTAAGCTGCATGTGACCCTTTCCTCTTAATAACTGAATCATAAACTCAAGTACGCCTCAGTTTCAGGCAGAAGGATTGTAATCGTAGATGTGATAGAGCCTGATTTTTCCCTTAACACTCTCATATCAAGGTCACTATGTCACCAGTGAACAACACCTCCTGCCAAGAAGTGCAGCAGTTATAGACGGTAATAGTTTATTGGGAAATTGCATTCAGATAGAACATTTATTAGGCATATCTCATTTCAAACACAAGCCAAAAATGATCAATTCACCCAACAGTTCACATGCAAACAACAGCTAGCAGGTTTTTCACTATTTCAATATTAAGATGAAGATTCAGTTACTGCAGGCCAGAGAACTTTATTTTATTTTCTGCTCCAGCCAGTTTTCATTTAATGTTTTGCAAGATTTTTGACACAGACAGTTTTCAAACTTTCACAACTGCACGTTTGTTGGAAAATACTTTGAACTAAATCAGCAAATCACATCCCGACAATATTTTACTCTCCACGCTGGGCACAAACCAAAGTTTCACTGCTTTTCGCTATCACTGCTATAACCTTCACTATCAACAGCTGGCTTATGAACAAAGATGTTGTGATATACTGTAAAGACGGTGTTTGCACGGTTATATGAGTGTGCGTAAGGCAGAGAGCGAGGGAGAGATAGTGGATTGGGGTGAAGGGAGGGAGAGACTTTGTTGTGGCTGCTCTTTTAACTCCCTTTCTCAGAAATCCTGCCCCGAGGATGAATTCACTGTCTCTCGGCAGAGCATGAGATTCCTGAGGTGATTTGAGCAGGGTTTATTCTTCCAGTAAAGCAACAATGCGTACATGCACCTAAATCACTGCAGTTTGCACCATCTAAAAACATTTCTGAGTATGAGCTGCAAAGGGCTCCAGCCTGTCTGTGTGTAATTTTCTTTTTGGACTTGCATAAACATGACAGTAGTGTTATAGGAGATCTGATGGGATGCCGTTTTCTGAATTGGCCTTGACAGCTCATTTTCTTGTTATTGTCTAAGACTCACATGATGGATAGCTTTTAACCCTAAAATATCAACTTCAAAGCAACGCCCTTCTTATATAAACTTGGTGATTGTATGCAAAGCTTAAAACCGAGAGAAAATAAATCGTCTTTGTTAAAGCAAATTCTACGCAGCTGTGAACTGGTTTGCATAAAAATGTCCACCAGGCTGTGTGTTGCACTTATGCTTGCGTGACAGTGTCTGTGTGTGCATGCCTGTCTGTGTGTAACATTCTTTGCCTGCATGAGCCCATACAAGAAAGAGCCCTTCTCATGCCAGCTGAGGTCAGGTCCGGACACCGTGGGGTGCACCCTTCTCTCGCCACGGTGGGCCGAGAGGCAGGGGGAGGCCTCCAGCGCTTCTGGGAAACAGTCTGGGCCTAATTGGAGCCTGACTGGTCTCACATGTCTCCACTTACTGGAGGAGACGGAGGATCCCGCTGCCTGGGCCTATGAGAGCCGCTACAGGCCCAGGCCTTACCCCCCCCTTCATCAGCATAACCACAGAGAGGCAAACTCTCCAAGCAGACCTGACATGACAGCATGACTGAGTGGTGTGGTCGAGTATGTTTCAGTGCAGTGAGGTCAGGCATGCTATACTGAATGGTGCAACTTTTTTTATTGTGTTTTTAAAAGAATATCTGACCTTAATAAATCCCTCCACGTACATTTTGTTCCAAGGATCTCCTCCTGTACAGTGTGTGCACCCTCCTCCTATTGTTCCCACTTCACTCATTCTGCGTCATGACTGATGGAACCTGCCCTCCTTACTGTATAGAATATCACGTTCCCCTTTCTCACGCACAGAAATCTCAACCACACAAAAAAGTATGTACAAGTACACAGTCTTTTCATGTGCCTGCTTATCCACGCTGCAGTGAGAAATGCGAGAACTGAAGAACAGTGCAGATGGTAAAAAACAAAGACTTTCCTGCTGCTGCTGCTGCTGCTGCCTCACCACCATAACCACACATTCTCTATAGCTTTTTTCTCACTTTTTTTTTTTTTTTTCATGTCTTGGCAACATGCCTCTCATTTCCCATCAGTCACGGTCAACCTCCTTGGCCCTGTCTAATTCTCAAAAACGTCATTATCATTGTGTTTTGAAGCAGAGGTGCAAAATATTATTTGACTCCAGTTGTGCAAACACGATTACAGGCAATTTCTTATCCACTCTGAAACCTCTACTCATTTAATATCAAAGTCAAAATGCAAAAATGCAAACCAGGAATTTTACCTTTTTAATGCACATCTGGAACAAATTGTTTCATAATTTGTACCCATGTTCCCCCAAATCACCGCAGGCAATGGCTCGGAGGGAAATATCATACAAATAAACACCCTCATTTCGCCCTGTTTTTTGGCATAATTTGGTTTTGCTGAAAAAAAAAAAAAACAGATTTTAATCTTTCACAGATCAAAGGGCTTTTGAAAGTAATTGTTTTTCTTGCCTTCTACTGCTCAGATAAACATGTCTCAACTTGAACAAACTCAGGTATTCATAACCCTTTCTATTCCAAGAATTGAACTGTTGTTGTTGGTTTGTTGTTGTACTTACAACTATCTGCTGAGCATTACCCAAGGTTCTCTGCAGCCCTTTGACTACAATGTAGGCCTACCATGTGTCTGTACAATTTAGCCAATTTTTTTATTCTGAAAACCAGTTTTGTAGCCGAAAGATTTATAAAAAGGCTGAAAAGCTGATTTGTATTTATTAGCAAATTTGTGCAGACTATTCAGCGTCTGATAGAAAATGTGGAGTTCAGCGTAGACAATAAAAAAATCTGAGTCAAATTAAAGAGCAACCGCTGCAACCTTGTAGCCCATCCATCACTAATATTGCAATATTAAAATAGTGTTTTCATATCATTCTAAATAAGGCATTCACTGTTTCTCATTTAAATGACAAATGGCACAACCCCTTACCTCCAGGTGAGGTCATAAAGCCACTTGCTATAACCCAAAATGTGTTAGTCTGAGTAGACACAAACATAAATCCAAAGAAATGCATACGTGTGTTTAATCCAAATGACATGTTTTCTGCCTGCCCGCCCGTTCCATTGAGAAAAAGTCATTTCTATTGATTGCTTTTCCAGGCATCATTTAATATGATACACACTCACTTGTAAATATCGACCTTTCCTTGATGCCTCGACATTTGTGCCATAAATACTTTAATAGCAAGCTTGTGAAAAGATATGAAAAGTTATGAGGCTATAGATAAAGGCTGGATATAAACAGTAACAGGAGTTTGGGGGTTTTTTTGTAGAGGGTACAATGAATGTGGTTGGAATAATACAAACTTTGGGAGTTGTGGGCACAGTTGGAACAGAGAAGGAATGATTAAATTAAAAGCTGCTCCCAAATTGAAGTAGCAGGCTCTTCAATATTCATGAACATTGAAGAGCCTAACCTTTAATTTTATTAGTGATTAATTTGCAGACCTGATAGTACTTCTACTGTAATATGTAGTATAATAATGCATGTAAAACTTTGCTGCAATACCGTTACTGTCTTTGCAGCAGAGTGCCTCTACAGTCCTTATCACATACTGCCACCTGGTGGAGGAATATATAGCATGAGTTTATTGACTTGCAGTGGTGTAAAAGCCATTTACAGCCAGTGTTTGTGACAAATCTTTATTTCAGCTTGATTAAATGGCAATGATAGAAACCTCAAATCAAACATTACTATACTGAATAATAAAAGAAAATGGCACAACTAATAAACAAAATTAAGACAAAATACCCACTATACATTTAAGTATGTACAACTTGATAAATAAACCAATACTGTCTAGAATTATGATTGTTTAGCATTTTTCCTTATTTCTCTAGGATTAGTGCGCTGAGAGGAGCAGAGAAGAATAGGACCAGGAAAAAGAAACGGGCAGGGAGCGAGGATAATGACCAGCAGGCACAGATGAAAGAGAGAGAGAGAGAGAGAGAGATAGACGACTGTAGACAAGAGTAGAAAAGATATACGCTTGATGCACAACTCATACTGCATTCGCAAAATTGTACCTCTCAGCGCAGTTTTTGTTATTTGACAAGATGACCGTCACTGCCTTAACGTGACCGATCAGCCACCCTGCACTCCATCTTTTGGTTCACCACAGTACATTCCTGATACACAGTAGCAGTAGTTTTGTATCGTTTCACATCGCGCTTCCTGAGACGGGGACAACCCATTCCTTTCCAGGCATAGCTTCACCACACATTTATTTGTGCTGCTTTAAAGCCTTTTCAATAATATGTCATATGTAATGTCTTCTACATAAACAACCTGAAGCACACTATATTGTACAATGATCAGGAGGTTGGGCGAAGGCTAAAATGTCATGAGATTTGTTTTACCATTTAATAGGTAACCCTCCACAAAGAAAAAGCATATTGAAGGCAGGAAAAAAGATTAAATGTTGTTCAAGTGGGAAAAAAACTGAGTTACTGTCGCTAACCAGCAGCATTTCTCATCACGTTTCATCTAGAGCGCCAGGCACTGTGCAGCATTAAAGTAACTTCTCTAACAAATGAATTGCTTTTTTTTCCCATCACACAGTAATAGAAAGTGGTGTTGTGTTTGAGACAAGGGGAGAGCAAGAACAAAATGTATGGGGAGAGAAAATGGAAAAGGTCCAACATATACGTTTTCCAGACAACCTAAGACCATAAAATGAGGCCCAGGGTGATGGACACTTGTCCCTTTAAAAGACACTAATCCCCAGGATGCATCTCCAGGACCTTCAGGAAATGAACAGTGGGAGCCAGATCCAACACTGAGACCCTGTCCAGACAAGCAGACACCCTCACCTGCAGCGGTACGTCCCCATGCTGCAGCTTCACATTTACAAAAACAGTTCAGTCTGGGACACAGACGAGGTTTTCATTCCTCGCATGGCTGTTGTGTTGTGAACAGGGTCCACATCAGCGCTGACATAAAAAGTTTCAGAACATCATAACAATCTCCTGAGTGGCAACTATTTTTTTTTTTTTTTTTTTTTTTTTTTTTTTTAAAAACAAGTTTTTGTTTTTTTTTTTCTATAAAATCACTAACAGTTGGCAATTTATACCCCCTCCCTCCCCCTGCAGTTTCTGTTGCAAGACCATTTTAGTTTACAAAAGCAAACAAACAAAAAAAAGACTCAAAAGGAATTGACTGTAAAAGCTGTAAAAATAGACACAAATTACCCAAACATACTAAAGCACATCAGAAAAGGTCTTAACTTTTCTTTCATAAAGCGAGGAATATTTTGGTTGGGGCACCACACTCGGTCAGACCTGCTGAGTTAAAATGATGTGTGCTACAGGGGACTGCATGAGTGTATGCATGTTATGTATGTATGCAATGTATATGGAAATTGTTTTTTTTGTTATGTTTTTTTTTTTTTATAAAGCATCTTCGAAGGGGAATTTGCTGCAGCAAGAATCCCTTTTCGGCTTCCGAGACAGAGAGCACACACAAAGCTGAGAGAGAAAGAGAGACATTCAGACAGGAGGCTTTGGCCCTGACTCTTATCTAGACACCCCAGCATGCTTCCTGTTTTTCTGGCCCATAGAGTCCCAAAGCCAGAGCTAGTATGTATCCTAGAGAAATCCCCTTGAAAGGGTCTGAGACAGACCTTAACCGTGGCCTCTGCACGGGCCCAGAGAGGGCAAACAGTTACCCAGCCCCCCTGCTCTGTCAAGTGCAATGTCAAGAGTGCTGAGCAGCTCTAGTGTCTCTTCATGGACGACACCTTCTTTTTCCTGGCTGCCAGCATCTCGTAAAAGGGATCCCTGCTGATGGCAGCCCTGTGGGCACAGACAGAGAAAAATGTCAGAGGAAAGTATAATGGCTTAAGCGTGCAAATTGCTGCACAACTCTGTAATGTTAGACATAGTACATTTGCAAGTAAGTGGGACATTTTTTATTTTAAAAAATTCTTAGAATTTATCTGTGGATCTGTGTTAAAGTCAACCTTTAAATAAAATTGTAAAAACAACATCTGCACGGCCAGTACTTGACTTTTTTTTTTTTTTTTAAACTTTAAGTACTCGGCATGATCAGCTGCTCCAACTGAAATCATTTGGACATTTTTGGGTGAAAATCAATTAAAACCTACAGCAGAGGTTCTCAAAGCATAGGTGTGGAGGGAGAGACGTCGTATCTCCCCCATACATAGGTATTTTGAGATTGACTGTGACATACACTTTCTGGAAATATGAAATAAACAACATTATACTTCTTCCCCCTGAAAAAAAAACAAAAAAAATAGGGGGAAAAAACACTTACTTGATGCTGTTCATCCATTCCTCTTTCTCCTCAGCGGTGGGGGCAGAGATACGGTAGAAGGTGTGGTTGCCCTCCACAACACGTCCATCAGCCTCGGTTTTGCAAGCTTTTATTACTTGGTCCTTGTTGTCAGGAATGAAAAGCTCAAAGCAGTTCTACAGAAGTAAAGTGGATGGGGGTTAGACATTATAGACAGTAAACTACCTTAAAGACATATTTTAAAAAAAAATATTTACATACTGTACTTTCCTATGCAAATCCCTGTCAGTTTTATTGATTTCTAGTAATCTTCAAATGTCAAAGCTGTGACTTGTACACACCACAGCTGTGGATATTCTGCTGAATTAATCCAGGCTGTCAATTTTCTAAATAGGCAGCACTGGAGAGAGCCCGTCTTTCCTGACAATTTAAAAATCCATATATCTGAATGTATGTAAACCAGCAGAGGGCGCTACACTTACTGGCTTCTTATCCTCCACCTCCTTGATGCTCAGGTTCTCCAGGGGGATGATTCCTCTGGGCTCTTTGTCCTGCACAAATATAAAATGTGTATAATGCACACAGGGAACAGCAGCAGCTTTTTTTCCCACTGTGACCAAGAAAATGAGCTGTACTCACTGTGGTGTACTCAAAGTAGTACAGGCAGTTGTCAGTGAGGATGAACCACCTCCTCTTCCAGGTTTTTACTCGTCCCCCTGTGGAGCAAACATCCAGTGTCAGAGAGGCTCAACAAGGAAATGGGGAAAGAGAGAGAGAGAGAGAAACGAGCACCAAAGCACCGGGTCGAGCAGCAGACAGGCAGACATATGTATGGGCAGACAGACAGATGACGGCTCCAGAGGACACCTTTTACCCAGAACACCCTGCTATTCACCATTTGTACCATATATTGCACCATGCACCGACAATCTTGACTTTATAACAATTCATTAATTCTTCCTTTTTCCTTTTATGTGTTTTATGCTAATTGGAATAGATGTGAAGCTGCTATTGGATAAAGCTACACTAATGTCTTGGTGTACCTGGAAACTCTCCTTACTTGGCTGTTTCTCCTTCCTTTTTTGCTGACAGAGGAATAATCTGGAAAGGCAGGATCAATAGACAAGATGCAGATCTATGTGCTCACTGAACTTAATGAACTACTGCCCAAATTAAGTTACTGGAAGAAATGTGGAAGGCACTTAAATGTCTATTTGAGGGCTAAATGTGGAAAATTAGGAGTTAGAGGATTAAGTTCCCCCCTCTTTCAAGCCCAGTGGGGGCTCTCTGGTTAACTCTGCAATCGCTGATCTGTACCTGACCTCTGACCCCACCTTTTCACCCATACTTCCTGGGAGGGGAAACCTGATCACAGTAGCAGATGGCAGCCTCGCTCTGGGAGGATGGGATGCCAACAAACTGAGTGGGGCAGGAAACTAAGAGCCTGGAGCTATGTTCAGCAACTCTAAAGGCATTTCAGACTTGAATTTCCTCTCTCAGCTCTGTTAAGTAACTTCTAAGGTTTATAGGAGCAGGGCTCAGTGAGTGAGGGAATGTTTCTTTCTAATCATGACATGAAGACATCAGCTTTGACTAGACTAGGCTATCCCACCACATGTGTTAGTAAGAAGCTGCATTGTGAAACCCCGTCTACCAGCATAGGAGGCTTTGAGGATGTTTATACAGACATACAGAACACACTTTTAGTATCATATAACAGCATCAGCACTGTATATGATAGCCCATCATTTCACAGATGTCATGATAGGTCCAACAATTCTGACTATGCTTGTCATCATTTACGGACGCCATCGACACGCTTCAATTGACGGGCAGAGATGGAGAGCTCCTTGCCACATCTCGACTCGTCAGCGTGTCGCAACAAAGAAGCAGACAAACAGAAAACACAGACGCGATGGCAGAATCACACAGCTGAACGGCCTGAAAGTTGATTGGGTTGGTTGGAGATTTGTGATTGGTTTGATGGTCAATGTCAGTTCCTGTCACTCCGAGAGAAGAGAGATGACCTCCTCCCATGCAATGAGTGTCTTTGACAGCGTGGGACGTCCCAGCAGACTATTGCTGGGGGTGCACGTGGACGCTGCTAGACTGGACTGGAGCTGAGTAGAGGGAGTCACCCATGCAAGACAGAACTGTGGGAGGCTGGTCAAGTGGAGGTTGAGAGGGAACGTGTTTTCTTGTAAATCATATCCAGTTGTTGATGTTTTTTGGAAATGATTTATCTCCCCAGGATGAATTTGCAACTGGCTTTTCTTACTTAATGGATTCATTTTTGTTTTAAAATTTGTGTGCAAACGAAATGCATTGCACCAATGTAAAAACTTTTTTGTAATTAATAGAAAAGCTGCTCTTTTTACAAAACTGCTGTCAATTTATTAACTGTGTGCACTCTGTATATTAAGCATCCATGAATCCCTTTTCGGGACACTCCCCTGTCCATGCTTCTCTCCCACAGTTTGGTCCAGTCCGGGCCAGCACAAGTCCTCAACCACACTGTTACCCTTCAGATTCATTTACAGCATGAGATAAGGAGAGCAGAGCCACTTTATTGAAAAGGTGCAATATTCCCTTTCCATGCAACCAGGGAGCAAACAACAATAAGCCAATGGGTAAATGAGTTCATGATCAAATTGGACAGTTAGGCAAAATTCCTTTGTTGTGCTCACTGTATGGAAAAAAGGTATAATGCAGCTTCCAAAAAACAAAGATCAAAGAGAGTGACCACCACAGCATACAGAGAAAAGGAGGGTCAGACTGCTCAGTAGAGTGGTCACAAAGCATCAGCTCCCCGAGCCAAGCCCCGGGGGTGGCAAATGCCCCCGGTGACCGCTCGGCAACCACCCACAGAGATAAAAGTGTGTGGCAAACCACCAGCTCAATGAGAGACTGAACAGACAAACATCTGAAGTTCAAATGAGTCAGTGGCGAGACAAACAAAAATAAAAAATTAAAATCTACAGACAAAAATGAGGAAAAAAAACCCCTGTACGAATGTAAAAAATAAATAAATAAAATGAGGAAGAGAACAAAAGCATGGACGACCACCAAAAGCACCTGAAAGCTGAGAGATGGACTAGCGTTTGGGAAGAGCAGGTGTACATACCTCCTGAGGAAAGACAACAGCCAAAATCATGGGAACAAACAAACGAAGAGGAAAAGGAAACAAAAAAAAATCAAATTAAATGATAAAGAATTATACCACCACAGTCCTGTTAATTTTGGTTCCAGGGAGCCTTTGATGTACTGCTTCACAGCGTTTCATTTTAAAATACTTCACAAATGAGGGCCCACAGATTTTTACAAGCCTGTTATTATATATCATTCCACAAGGGGGAGTTTTACTCAATGTGAACTTGTGAGAGCTACTGTAAAGCACTACATGAAATATCACCTCCACTTGGGTCCATTTCTGATATATCCAGTAATGTATCTTCCACCCTGATTGTTTTACTCAAATCTGTCAATTTGGAGTCATTGGAGAAAAAGTAATTCCTTCACTTCCTTGGTGTAGGTGGTTGTAAAGATTCACAGCGATTGGAAGATTCAATGACTTCATGCTGTTTTAACTAAATTCATTGTGAATCTGTACAACAGAGAAAGGACTCAGAGGAAACAGAGGATGAAAAGTTTAGGGGTCCAGGGTTGTGCTTTCCTCCTCCTGTGAAACATTTGTTATGATACACTTATATAATACATACAAGAATACCTCTAGCTTTCATGTCACTTCTCTAGTGTGTGTGTGTGTGTGTGTGTGTGTGTGTGTGTGTGTGTGTGTGTGTGTGTGTGTATATACACGTTTGTGTGTCTGAACATGTGGTCGGGACAGAAATTAGCAAAGGGTTCATTCAGGAAATATTACTAGAAATACCAAGACACACCATTTATTATTAAAAAGACCTGATGTGAGTTTCCACAGTGGGACAAAGTATTCATTTTAAATCTCCACTAAAAATTCCCCTGAGGACCAAAAATGTCCCACAGAACTCTGATTAAGGGGAAACAAAATCAATTTCTAACCATAGAGTATTTACAGAAAATGTGTACACACTTGATTTATAAAGCCTTTGTACAGTATTTGTGTGTGTGTGCATGTCAGTGTATGAATATGACCTGTCTTAAATAATTTAAAGGTCGCCTCATGTGGTGGTCTGATCTCAAGGCCACATTCATAATACATTCAAGTGGACAGTAATGTCTTCAGATGCCTTGGGATAAAAACGTGAACACACAAATTCACACATGATCACACTTTCGCATACACACTCACAGGTTATTGACCTCAGAGGTGACATTGGTTATTATTTTATGTAGGCTGATTTTCAAATGTTAGATAAGACAATATCTGCTGCTATGAAAACACAGTTATCTGTGAGCACAGGCACAGTGATGAGAACCATCATTTTGGCAATTTATTATGTGCCCAAGTAACTGTGCACACATATTTCCAGTGTCACTCACCCAGTTTTAGCAGCCAGCCTTCTCTATCAGGGTTGAAGAAAGTGTGTGTGAGGTCGTTGCCATCATCCTCTGGGATTTTGAAAGGCTCGTTCTTGATGCTCTCATACAGGTTCTACAACAAAGAGAGTGGACCATGACCATAGAGGCCACAGTGGAGGAATCTCAGATGAGTCTGGAAGCTCTACTTACCCTGAGCAGGTCTTCAGGCAGGTCTCCTCCATCGTTGATGCCTCTGTTCATGGAGATGAATCGTTCCACAGAAGGCTTGTCCTTCACATTGGGGTTGTGGAGGCTGGTGTTTAGCATGATGATGGCAAATGACAAGATGTAACAGGTGTCTGTAACACACACACACACACGCACACGCACACGCACACACAGAGTGGTCACACTATGAGGGAGGGATGAGCTTTACGAGATAGCGAAAGGTTGCTGTTTACCATAAAATTGCTGCCAGTGTTTAATGTGGTGTTTAAATATGAATGTAAATTAGCTGAGCTGAAAACCCTGCTCTTTGGGGGTTGCAGACAAACCGAGAAGATCAGATTGGAGAAGCTTTGTTAGCAAGGGGAGTGGGTGGGAGTGAGTGGGAGTGAAAGGCTACTTGTGGGCAGCTAAGTATGCACGTATGTATCTGAAAGTGCATGTCTGTGCATGTGTGTGTGTAAACTAAAAGACAATGTGGCAAACACACGGCTGACGCAGCAGCACTTTATCTGGCCCGTTAGGCTGTTGAGAAGTCCCATGCATTATTCACATCCATCTGCATCCATGTTAGAGGCAGTCGACTGTCTGCTAGGGGCATTATTTCCTAAAAGCCAGACACTCTTCCATAACACAGTTCACCTCAGCAGACTTGTAGCGTTTTTCCACTGTGTGGTACAGACAACTCAACTACTTGATTTTGGTACCAGGTCCTCCTTTTTCCACTGCAGAGTACCCCCTCATTGCGTTATTACTATAGTGACGATCATCTTTAACATGACACAAAAACAATGGACTATATCGAAGGGATACCAAACAGAATAGTCTGCACCTCCTTAACTGACCACAGCATGGTTTTGTGGGTTGCCATAGTAAAAGTATAGTAAAATAAATAAAGAAGTTTAGATATGAGTTCCACAGACATGCCATCAGATCTCAGTGCAATATGGAAAAAACACTGCATACAATAACAGAAGACAAATGTTCATCTGGTAAAGTTCCTTTAAAAAAAAAAAACAAAAAAAAACTAAATGTGTATTAAAGGTGAGAGGTCATGACATTATAGACTTAATCAAAAAAAATGGTGGTTTATGGTGATTGATAAACCCCTATTTAATCTTTAAATGTAGTTCATATCTGTATTTGCCATTATTTTAGGAAGACAAGAAAAGCTGAAGTCATTTTATCCTGTGTTTCACTGCTCACACATTTACAGCTCTTTGGCTTTTTATGACGGCACTGAAAGTCAGGCTGTAAAGCATCACGGCACTACCTGTGGACTGGAAAACACCAGAGTTGCATTGGCAGTAACGCTGAGCGAAGGCCTCCATCATGCGGTCAATCTTCTGAGCTTCTCCCGGCAGTCGAAAACTCCACAGGAACTGTCTGTCAGGGGGTAAAAGCTCAGTAGTCAGCCACAGATTCACTTCCTCTGTGAAAAAGCTGAGTTTATTCTGTTTGGGCACAAGACTGAAAATGACAACTGCATGCTCACAAAATGCAAATAAGGTGACACTTAAAGAATGGACACAATCACCCATGAGTGACATAAAAAAGGGGGGGGGGCTAGGAAGATCTAGCCAAGAACTTGATGAGTATGTAGCAGACTCTAGGATCATATCATCTTACCTTAGGGCCTGAACCAGGTTGAGGTCTGTGAACTCATGAAGCTCCACAAAGGCATGGAGGACTTGGATATTGAACTCATCTCTGTAGGAGACAAAACATGGTTCATTTTCTTACTGGTAAAAGTTTCAAAAGTTATATTCTGCATAAGCAAAACAAAATAAATATACAAAATATTAGGTCTTCAAATAACAGTTATTTTCAACTAACAATGAATTAATCTGAGAATTATTTTCTAGGTAAACTAATTGGTCCACAAAAAGTGGACCCCATCAGGAACATGTCTGAGGACTCAGCTCAGGGCGTGGTCTGGCTCACGTCGGCTTCAGAGGTCAGTGATATGCTGCATTCTCCAATCAACCCCAATGGAGGAGGACAAACATCCTGTACCCCTTTTATTTATCATCTAATCTCAAACATGACATCATTCTTGACCTTTATGCCCTTCGGAGTAAATGATCTAGCCTGTGGGATCATGGGATGGGTCTAAAGAGCTCTCGTTCATATTGGTCATATACAGTCACTACTATTCCCACTGGACAAGTAACCAATTGTGCCTGAAACCTCCCACACTTCTCAGCCCCCTCCTTACAGAATCAGAAACCCTCGGAGATCTTGATAGCAGTCAAACAGAGAGCATCCATCTACAGCCTGCACTACATTTCCTGGTTTGACCTCACAGACCACACCCTGACTGTAGGCCCATCATTAATTCCTGTATTATGCGTTTACTCTATCAAGGATGTTCTCGAGTGAAAACTTTAATTGCCTTCAAACATGCATTCCCAAGTTGTGTTGTCATTGTTACTTATGAATGAGTAAGATAATCAAAGACAGGAGGCTATTGAGCAACGGACATCGTCTTGACAGGACGGTCTAAATGTGGAACCAATAAACTGTGTTTGGGAAAGGATGGGTGTGTGCCTGACCAAGAGGAAGCGGAGCAATACGGAAAATATGCACTCGCTATTCGATGCTTTTATCAACCACATGGATGAGTGCTGGTGAATGAGTGTGTGAGAGAAGGAGGAGGTGAGATAGAGGAAAAAAACACTGAGTCAATCTCGATCCAGACCTCTCTCCGAGGTAATCGCCAATGGCTGTTTTGTTGAGGCCCTCGCCCTTGTAGAGGAACTGAGCAATGTCGTCGCTGGTATTCTTCAGCAAGTCATTCTCAATCAGGAACTGGATCCCCTGAGAAAGAGACAGGGCCCCAGGTTACATGCTGCTTATGAAAACATGTGGGACAAATCATTTCTTCAGTCACGACAGTTTCTTCTTCCACCAACCTTTTTGGGGTCCATGTTGAATTTCTTACGGCCCATAGCCACCTGTTTATTCCTCTGCATATTTTTCCTGAAACATCAGAAAGTCAGTTTTTAAGTTGCTCTTCAAGTGAACATAATGTTGAATATGAATACTCTGTTATAAATAAGTCCTACAACTAGCAGTTATTTTCATTGCCGATTAATCTGCCAACTTTTGACTTGATAAATTAATTAAGCATTTTGTCTATAAAACATCAGAAAATTAAAAAATAATGCCCAGAAGCCATGGTGATGTCTTCAAATTGCTTGTTTAATACGACAAACAGTCCAAAAGCCAAAGATATTAAATCTAATATAAATCAAGAATGTCCTCTTGCGTGTTAGTCAATGCACGATTACCTTCTTGAAATCAAACAGTACACCTTAAATGTCAATATGACAACTCTTATTTCATTTGTTTTTATTAGTTCTCTACATGACACAGGCTTTAGTGATGATCAGATCTTCAAGTGCTTTAAATGTATATAAATATCAACCGGATTACGTGAACTGTGGATATTTTATTTCATCTGGGTAAAAAAGTAGCAGAGCATTGTTCTGGTAGCTCTGGCACCACTATACCTGTGTGTTACGTTAACATTATGCTACCCTCTTAGCGAGAGAGAAAGAGGAGTGACCAAAAAAGTGAGTGTGCCCCTCATTGAATGCAGAAGTTCCATTTACCTCCAAGTAAAGCAGCAGGATCAGAAACTGAACAAAATGACGTGTTCCGTCTGTCTGTTGATCTCTTTGGAGTGTGTGTGTGCTCGTGTTGCGTACTGTTATATGCGGGAATATCTGTTAAACTGTGGGAGGCCAAATCAATTTAGTATTAATTTAAGACAACAAATAATAATTAACCACATTAATGGGAAAACAAGTCGAATATTGTCTTGACATAGGCATGAGCAATCGGCGATAGTTCTAATGATCGTCGATCACTGATACCATCGCCCATCAGCACAACCCTGGTGTGAACACACCCAAGATGCATTGAAGACACATTTGAGATCTGATCACTCAGACCACATCCGGAAGTGGTCTGGGCCACATGTGTCCACATTCTTTTAGCAGTATGAACGCAAATGCGTCATGGGCCACATTGAAGGACTGCCTACTCTACTGCGACCTCTGACACAGTCTGATTAGTCCTGCCACCGTTTGATAGGCCCTGTTCAGACCTGGTTTTAACATCTCGGGTGATCCGGTCACAAGTGGACAGCTCTCAGTTCGTCAGTTCACACCTGCATTTAAAATGCGTCTCCACATGCGTCTTGATTGACCACTTGTGATCGGATCTCACCTCCCCGCTTTATAGGCAAATAAAAAGGTATGTATTGTTTTTAGCCAATCCACAGATAGGTCAATTGCTCCGAGGCTGAAAAATGAAGCCAACACGAAGCACCAAAGACTGCAGTTCTTCGAATAGCTGCCTGAGGCTGGCTCCAAAAGCGAGTCAATCCCCATAGACCCCCATGGCAAAATGACTAACTTTACAACAGAAATAAACATGTTTACAGCCTGGTGCAAAAAACTGTTTTGGTCTCTCATTTCCTCCTTCATGACAACTGTACAGGGGGTGAATTTTTATATAACTCGTTTCAATTTTATAAAGGCTTAATGGTCTGCATAATGGAGGACGTGTCGCTTTGAGTGACAGATGGCCACAAACTGGCATGTACTGAAGGCTCAGCTTAACACGCGCTCCTCCTCTTTGCCCATTTTTGGATTGGCTGGGGTCAGGTAGTGACAAGATGGCGATGATTGAACAGCCCACTCCGAGCTTCAAAACCAGAAACCTATGGGTGATGTCACAGAGGCTACCTTAATTTACAGTCTAAGGTGTGTGTGAGAGCGAGCGAGTGAGAGAGAGAGAGAGAGAGTAAAGGATTATTTGCATATAAAGCAATCCGATCACAAGTGGTCAATCAAGACGCATATGGAGACGCATTTTAAAGTCAGGTGTGAACTGACGTAGTTAGAGCTGTCCACTTGTGATCTCATTACTGAAGACGCATACTAGTGCTGAACGATGAAGCTTATCTTCATCGTCATCACAATCTAAATGTGCAGTCAACACGTCGCAAAAAAGTGTCATCGCAACCTTTGCGGGTAAAAAAGCAATAGTGTCCTTCATCACACCACCTGTTCAATAAGATTTAAACACGAAGAAAAGCTACATTTTCAACATCTCCATCCACTGCAGTTTTTTTTACATGAGTACAGCACGCTAATGTTAACCTAGTAGTGAACTGTTATAAACAAACTAAAAGGAAAGTTTTCTGTGTGTAGACTGCAGCTTTATTTGCCACAAACTTTAGTAAAATTACAGCTACAGTCTGAGACAGCAGCCCCCCACCTCCCCACCCCCCAGCAAAGTCACCTGCAGCAGAGGGGGGAGGACAGAGGAGATGACCGATAGTGACCTTTGTCTGTGTTCTTCATTCAGCTTCTCTCAGCAAAATGGTGTATGCATACTTCAATATTTGTTTATTTATCACAAGTAATACTGTCATTGCAAATTGAACAGTGTCATCACAAATTTTCCTCATATTGCGCAGGCCTATCAAAGACTAAGAAAACCAGAAAGTATTCTCATTTGAGAAGCTGGAACCAGTGCTTTTTGGGCTTGATAAATGACAATGATCATTGTTCTATTGTGCATATGTTTAGATTTCTTTGCCTTTTAGATGTGACTCACACAAATCAAATTGCATGCAAATGCAACAAATTGATGGCCCATCATTGTACTACAGCTGAGAGCATTACAATAAATGCATTCACTTCATTTCCTGAAAGTGTCTTTCCCATTAACATTTTTCATGTGTTTGGCAGGAACTGCACCCCCCAACCCCTCACCCACCCAACCCAACTGTGATGATAAAGCGTTTAACATCGTACATATGGGAAAGTCTCATTTCTCAGGCCTTGAGTTAATCAGGGGTCAAAGTATACTCCAAAAGTCCACCGTCACCATGGTTACATCTCCATCCCCAGCCAGTGAGAGGTCACCACTTCTTCCCACTGATTCACTCACACCAGCATTCCTTTGGCTTTTGTCTGCCAAAGTCCAACACTCAGCTAAACAGATGATGCACAGGGGGCGACAGCACAGACTGACTATCATGTCTTTAAGTGAATCACAGGAAACTTTGATCACAAGAAGGTGCTGTAACCCATAATGGGTTTTAGATGCAAGTGAGTGCTTTAGGAATATTCGGTAGCTGATGGGATCCCTATCCACTTGAGTAGACCAAACCCGAGCACTCCCTCCCCTGAGACCATCCATTGTCTGCTTCTGCCCGTACACCCACTGCATTATTCAATGAGGCCTCCCATCATGGGGGGTGTGCCTGATGAAACATTTAAACTGCCTTAAAAGCATAGCCAATTTGGGGAGGGTATCTGGTGTGATGGGATGATCCAACTTGGCCATCAAACATGAATAATTGACAGCTTCATTTGCTAAGTTAATAGAAGGCAAACAACTACTAGCCAATTCAGGCAAAAGAGAGGGAAATGTGTGTAGGGGAGGGGTGTCAGGCCCTGTTTTCTTACCTCTCCTCAGTGGAACCCAGGTTCTCGATCTCACTTGTCACTTCTGCTATCTCATCCTTCAGCCGCTACAAAAAAAAAAAAAAAAAAACAGGAGTTAGTTTTAAAATGTTATCAGTATGACGAGAGAACAAATTCATCATTTATCCACCAATATCCCTGACATCAGGAAGTGTGGATGGGTGTGACCAACACAAACTACATGCAAAGTATTTGTTAACACCCCCACCCAAAAAAAAAAAAATAAAAAACTCGAAGGCTCTATTAAACAGTGTTGAGAGGCTATCATCTCTGAATCACCTTTGTTTATCTGTAAGCCAGGTGGCTTTTTATCACATACATACTTACGTCAGAGTGATTCGATCAACAAAGAGAGCAGAGTCAGTTTTCCGGCTGCTGGTAAGCTGAAACTTCATACAGACTGCTGCCAGTTCAGCTCTCCTCAGTTCTCTTAAACTAAAAACTGACAGTAACCATCTATAGGACATATCAGACAGTGTGTGTTTGTGTTTGCTTTCCCAAACAATCCTTTCATTCTGAATTTGATTAGGTGGAGAACAGTCTGGGATAACCTCAATTCCAATGAAGAAAGAAAGCATAAAAGTGGATTATAGTTTATGTGGCTTTTTAGTGATTAATGGCCTTAGAGGCAGATTTAGTCGATCAAGCCAAGCTCCTTGGTGCCAGGCTGGCGCAGTAAGGCTATTGCAGACGGTAGAAGGATGGAGAAGGTGACGTCAGGTTGATGAAAGCCTGGAATAATAGACTGTAGCATAAGCGAAGTCCTGTATACAGTCAGAGCGTGGTTACTATTGATCATAAGAGGTTTCAACACTCCAAGTAAAGGTTACAATCATTGAACCTCTCCATTCATATCCAGCCACAGTATTAGTATATAATTTCTCATGCATAATACCAATTTACTATAGGCCAAACCACAAAGGGAACATCTGTGTTTTCAAGGCCTGCGCAGTCACAACACATTCCTCAGATGCTTGTCTCCGCAAACAAAGCCCGTGCTCATACAGGAAAGCGGGTGGTTGTTGTGGTGGGGTTCTGGCATGCTGGACCTGTGTGTGGGTGTCAGAAAGGAGGAGAAGCGCCAGTGTGCAGCCCACAGAGGAGGAGAGGATGGGGGGGCAGTAGTGGTGGTCAGAAAAGAGGGGGGAGGGCAGCAACGGTGGCCCAAGCTCATAAAAGAGAGGGTGTCGGATCACGCCTCCAATATTTGCCTGTCAGGGCCAGCGGAAGTTGAGTCACCCACTGGGACATCTGAAGGCCAACTCTCTGCCAGGGCATGACAGGCTGCGTGTAATTTGCTTATGGAGCTGGCTATTGAGTGACAGCACGGATCTGAGCTAGAATAATCAGCTGTGCTCTTGGGTTAAAGCACAACCAAAACATCATCATGGGCCATGGACATGGAATCAAACAAACCACTTTAGGGAAATACAGCTGAGCTGATTTGAATCCTGGCACTCTCTGGACATCACAGAGTATACGAGATTATTCTACTGGCTCCATGAGCACATTCCTCATAAGAGTATAATGCCATTTCATCTGTATGCAGAATCATTTGCTGGTCTGATTTTTACAGTCACTTTATATTCAAAACCACATTTCAATAAAGACACCCAAAAGAGACAACTTGTATCCATAAATAAAGGTCTCCGTTGACACATTAGATCTACAAAAAAACAAATGGCTGAAGAATAAACATAAATGGTTTGCTGAGGAAGTGAGCACTTGGTAGGAAATACCCCACATTCCCCTTACAGTGAAATTTCGAAGGACTTGGAAAAGAGGAATTTGTACAAAGGCAGTAAACACTGGATATGAAGTAAATGTTTAATCAAAAAGCAGAGGAGGAAGCGTAGTGTCCTGACCTTCTAGGTCAATTAAAATAAAATAAAAATAAAAAAATCACACCCTTTGCCTTTGAGCCACTAAAAACTTAAGCTTGGTCATCATTTACTATATATTTTACTATGGTTAGTTCTAGTGTCATATATAAGTATATTTGGCAGCAAGGAGGATAGCTTGCATTAGACATACAAGCTCAGACAAAGTTAAAACCTAAAATATGTTTCAGATGGGTAAAATACTTAATACCAGTGAAAATCAATTAGTTTATTTCTGTGTAGCATTTTTCAAATCACTGACATTTCAGTACTATAAACTTCTAAAAAGATGATGATTGTCTCAGTTTATTTTAATTAGGTCAGCAAAACTGAAAACTGTACCCGTCTACTGTTTTAAGATCTGCACATACAAATTTACAACAGCACTCATATCCTGTTCCAGCATTACCTGAATGTCCTCCAGCAGCTCCTGCTTGCGCCGGCGGATATTCTCCAGCTCCTGCTGCTCCTCTGGGGTGAGGTCGTCCGGCACTGCGGAGAAATGAGAGAGAAGACAAAGGATTAGGACGGTGGTGCCCGAAATATAAGGAACCTTTACACTTTTCTATGCCCATCTATCCCATGAGGCATATCCCTGAGAGTATTGCATTGCAGGAATAACATTATTATTCTCTAATATTTGATATCACAAGGGGACTTTAAATGCCCACAGCAATAGGTGTGGAGCCACAGAGAAAACACAATGACAGTCATGAAAGATGTTTTTCAGCAGCAACCGATACGTGGTCAGAGCAGGGTAGAGGAGAGCAGTTCCTTTCTTTGTCACAGCATTGGTGATGAATCAGACAAGCCTTTACAATCAGTACAAACACAAAGTGTGCAAAACACCTACACCAAGTCTGCAGCAGCCAGGCACACTTTGAAGAGGATTTAACTTGTGTGACTAAATGAAACAGCTCAGGTCAGCCAAACAGTACTGCGTATCAGTGCCAGAGTAGCACAAATGTGACGGGTCTCAAAGCACTGCCATTCCTCCTGTCATTCACACTACAGGCTGCTATAATTAGCTTTGTCTGTGCCAAGGACTGAGTGCCAAGCAATGTGTCCTGATTGATGGATAATGTCTTTGTGTGAGTGCAAACCCTACCTGCACTCAAAGCATAAAAGGGACACCATACTAGTGGTGTCCCTTTTATGCTTTGAGTGCAGGTAGGGTTTGCCTACCTGCACACTAATAATAACAGCAGTCCAAGCACAATCACAGTTGCACTTACTTTAGCACTGCATTGAAAGTATTTCCACCTTACTCTTTTTACATCACCATTTAAAAAACAGGTGCTTTTTGCATCAGATCTCCTTGGTAAATAAGTGTCTTATGACCTTAAAATAAGGCAATAATTGCTTGGTTGCATGTAATGTTTGTCAGTAGCCAGTACTGAACACATCTTGCATATAAGTAACTTTCTGTGCATCTTTAAAAACCCAAGTGATGCCAGGAGGAAAACGACTTTTGATACTATGTTTTCACTTGTTGAAGAATTGCATGATACAATACATGATACAACATTCAACAAGAACGATCATTTATGAATGTGGACTCTTAGAAACAATGTAGTACTCAATAATATTTCAGTACAAGTACTAGTAACAAACTGAAGCATCTTGTTAGATGTCTGCAAACCAGGCAATGTTGTATAGTAGATCCAGTTTTGGAAACTAAACACATGGTGACACTGTAACAAAAATACAATATTCAAATTTTCTGCACAATTTTAGTTATTTGCTGAACTCTGAGGTGTGAGACACCAACCATTTGGCCGATCTGCTGCAAAATAACTGTTGCATAGACATGTACACTGAAAGACTGCTAAATATCTCTAGTCTTGTGATGCTGCAAGTCTGAGCCAAGTGGCAGTCAAACCCCCTGAACTCAGACAGTGTCATGTGCTGCTCAAATCAAAGCGGTTGTTATGTTAGAAGATCATCTCTGTCACTCAGTAGCTCTTTCTCTGATTCCCCCAGTGGCCAAGCACAAGGCCCCTCCCATGACCTCCCCTCCTCCCGTCATTACCTCAGCAACAGGGTTCAAAGGTTAAAGGGGTCGAGGCTCGGCCGACTCTGTGAATGTTTGCAAACGGTTAACAAGGCAATGGTTATAGAGTGATGGAAGCTGAGGACAGAGGAATCTTCAACACAGGGTCCTATACTGTCTTATACTACTCCTTCCACAACTCTCCATGATACCACCAATGACCCCCCCACAAAAACAAAGTTCCTTTTCCCTCCAACTTTTTTTTTTTTTTTTTTTTTAACTTTCCTATGTGAAATCATTAATTCAGCATTGGTCCCACAGTAAACTGTGGACACAGTGTAGCTGCAGAAAAGGGTCAACAGAATGAAAGGTTACAAACGCTTAAAAAAAAAAAAATCTAGCACAGCAAGCAATAAAGCAAGGACACATCGAGGCATCCAGAAATGATGAGCTTCATAGTGCTTTGAGAAACATACACAAACATATCTTCACAATTCAAAAAATACAAAGATCAGCTAATTTGAATTTTCCTGCAAGGAAGATTTAATCCAAATATAATGCGTTTTGGCTGTCCAGCATTAAACAGATATCATAAAGTGACAATGCATGCTGCAAAATAGAGACCATTTATTTTAATAACAGCAGGCATCTTAACCTAAACATCCTGAGGCAAATACCCATGATATTCACTGGAATTTCTGCTAATATTTAACACAGGGATAATGGACAATGGAAGTCCAAAACAGGAGCCTCATAGGAGTCTATTAAGGAGCTCCAAAACAAACAAATGTTGTCTTCCTGTTCAGACAGCTGGGAGAGCACAGCAGTCCATTCAAGGTTGACCTTTCACACATCATACCTCACAGCCTACAGTATCCCTGGCAAACCAGCCGCATCCATCCCAAATTTTATGGGTATCCATGGAAACCATGTTTCGCTCGGTTCTCACAATATACTGAGCTGACAGTATATTGCAGAGCAAAGACAGACATCAAAATAAATGTTGCACAAGATTTCTTTTTTCACCTTCTCAGACCTCCCTTGAGAGCCTCTCATATCAAGGAAGATGTGAATGTTTAACAAACAGACTGGGAAGCACAAAAAAGGCACAAATGCATTCACAAACACAAAAGTGCTGCTGGGGCTGAGAATGCACAGGTCTTCTTGCATTTATTGACTCTGTCTCCCAATCGAGTGAATTAATGTCACGGCTGGCAAACCCAGGGCTGGGCTGTGTGTTTACCAGCACAAACAAGAGTGAAAAATAGAACAGGCTTAAAACAGGGAGTCAATTCCTCTTTCTGGTAACTTGATGTCAGGTTGGGCAACGCCACACAGTGCAGGACATCAGGACCTAACGCAAGACAACCACAGCATTCTTGACATAGAAGAGGACCACAAAGTGAAGGACTGACAAGGGAGAAGAGCGACAAAAAGGACTATAATTTGACACAGAGGAGGAGACAGAAGGAAACAGAGCAAAGGAACATAATCATTTGGGGATGGAAACTGTCTGTCATTTGCCTCCTTCGAGAGCACAAACAAGGAGCTCTTCAATATCTTACCCATCTGTAGTGCCACCACCCCATAAAAAGGGCAGATGATGTTGTTTGGTCACTGGAAACTTTAAAAGGGATGTTCCAAAGGAAGCAGGTCAGCAGACCGGAGTACGTGCTCAAAAAATTGATCTGATTTGATTTTATTAACAAAAATATTACCAAACTCAAATTCAACAAAAAACTAACATAAACCATAAACCAAGAAATAAAAATATGCAGCATCACAGCAAGCTGCCAATTGCTCTTTCCTTCACTACTACTAAGAGGACCTAATTACACACACCTGTTTCCCCTTTCTCTAATTGAGCTGCTGATCAACCCCAACAACCTAGAAATAAAACCCTGAAAACATACAAAGTGGGTTGACCCCGCCAACAAACCAAACCTACAAAGATCAACCACATCTCACAACCAATGTATTGAATAACTGAACCTGAAAAATGAATAGAAACATCCAACTAAAATGCTGATTAAATAACAATGATAATGACAAAACAATGATAATGTGGGGGATCAGAGCATAGTGAAAAGGGCACGGAGCAGCCTTTCATACCATCAATAGGGCAGATGCATGATAACACGTTTTCTACTAAACGGGCCACTCTCCCGCCTCACACGTCATCTGACTTCACCCACATAATTGGAGTTATTCTTGGAGCCAATCAGGTACACGCGTCACTGCCTTCCTGACTCCACCCAAAATAATCAAGACCACATAAGGAAAGGGAAAGGCCCCAGCTATGGTTATGCCAGAGGTGGGCACCAAGTGGGTGTCATTTCCCAGAATACAGCAGAAGAGGGGAGAACCCATCCACTTAAGTAAATGCTGAGAGCTGCTTGTTTCCCTTCTGTCTGGGAGCGCTTGCTTGGCTGTTATTCAGCAAACCTCTGCAGTGCCAGAGCCAATGGAAAGAGGCTGTCATCAGAAAAAGACAGGAAGTGAGAAAGACAGAAGAGAGAGAGGGCAAATAAGGTTAAGATAAAGTGACAAGAGTATCTGCAAAGACAGATTTACTGATACTCTATATCTCTATATCTTTTTTTGATGCAGTGATATGACTAAAAAGTTTGAAGATTAAATGATATGAGAGGAAATGTGGTGTTTTCTGCTCCATACTCTTAAGATGCAATACTCCTCATCTGCCCTGTCTATATCCTACTTCAGCAGCCTCTTAAAAGCAGAGGGCTCCTACAGCAATCTGGCTGGGGCGAGCCTTTATGTAGTTATATCCACAGGCTGAAAGACATATATGTGCTGCCCACATCTTCACTACTTCGGGGACTCACGTTGCCTGGAAAAAAGGTCATTCAGGGGAATCACATACACATGCACATGGAGGCGTGCATGCAACGGTGGCAGTGGTGAACAAATATTACACGCACACAGTCACAAGCACTCGTGTAACATTCACACACCGATGCCCAGGGCTGACACAATAACTTTCCCACTGTCCCCGGTGTCGTGTCCTGGCAACTTGCTTTTTGTTTCAACTTTCAATACTAATGCCATCTGAATGGATTGTCCAGACTGTGATATTCAGACTCTAATTCATTATATCACTGCAATAATGTCAATCTTAAATCACTTAGTCTATTCACTTTCAATTAAAGGGATTATTAAACCAAAGTCAGGATCAGGAAACTGGGAAGGACACTTCAAGTATCAGAAAATGAAAAAAATGATTTGCATTTGAAGCCTAAAATTACCCCATCCCATTAGCTTTTTTGAAAGAGCAGTAATACATTAAGTCTTTTACTGAATTGAATAACTTTGCCTAGAGCAAGGTAGTGTAAAGTGATTTGAAAATGTGTGACTAGAGAGCAGATATGACAATATCCCTACAGTAAGGTACTGACACAGGTGCTCTTTTGCCAAATCCAGGACAATATAATCTGAGCTTTGTTCTGCCGTGCCCTGGCCCTCATTACTTTTGAGTGCT